TGTCCAAACGAGACACTGCTATCAACGCACGGAACTTGAATGGATGTATGTCCAAGCGAGACACTGCTATCATCGCACGGAGCTCGAATGGGTGTGTGTCCAAACGAGACACTGCTATCAACGCACAAAGCTTGAATGGATGTACCTCCAAATGAAACACTGCTATTAACGCACGGAGCTCGAATGGATGCATGTCCAAACGAGACACTGGCATCAATGCACGGATGCTTGAATGGGTGTACGTCCTCACGAGCCACTGCTATCAACACGCGGAACTTGAATAGATGTATGGTCAAACAAGACACTGCTATCAACGCACACACTGCTATCAACGCACAGAGCTTGACACTACACAGTTGTATCACAGACTCGCAGGACAGTAGGACTCGCAGGACTACATTGTGTACAAAGTATTATGTGCAGGGACTCGTAAGACCTGTGTCTCTACTGGTGTGCTGGGCGAGTCCATGCAAAAGCATGCAAAAGCATGCACTTTGGCAGACGTCTTGGAAGTCTGCAAAAGCGGCACGCTGAGCTGTGGTGGCAGGCTGCAAAAGCGGCAGCCTGCAAAAGCCTGCACTTTGGCAAACGTCTTGGAAGCCTGCAAAAGCGGCAGGCTGAGCTGTGGTTGCAGGCTGCAAAAGCGGCAGCTTGCAAAAGCATGCACTTTGGCAGACGTCTTGGAAGTCTGCAAAAGCGGCACGCTGAGCTGTGGTGGCAGGCTGCAAAAGCGGCAGCCTGCAAAAGCCTGCACTTTGGCAGACGTCTTGGAACTGAGGAGCGGCGTGCGAAGCGGGGAGCCTGCGAAACCTGGAGGCTGAAAACTCGCAGGCTGAGACTCGCAGAAACCCGCAGGCTGAAAAGAGTTCTACTACTCGCAGAAAAGCACCGCAGAAAGAGTCTAGCGAAAAGCACCGCAGGCTGAGAAGCACCGCGGGCACACGGGCTTGGAAACCCCACCTCTCCCGCTCGTCTTGCAGGAAGTCGCGCCAATCCGGCGGCTGCCAAGAGTCGATGATGCGCCGAGACCCACCGCCCGCGCTGCCGCCGATGTCCAGGTAATCCCCTCCCGCAGTACGGAGGCGGCCGTGTCCTAGCGCCACAATCGCCTGGTTCCGGTTGACTCGCAACTCGCCGCTGTCCCACTTCCGAAGCACGTCCAACTGCTTGCGCGTGAGAGTGGGAACCTCCTGGCCCTGGTCGGCAGGCTGAGTAGCACCGCCGCGTAAGAGCTCTTGCCGATAGCGGGCGAGCCGCTCACCCTCGTTGTAGCGCCAGATCGCTTCAGCCTTGTCGTGGTGGAGGCGGCGGCGCTCTTCCTTCATGACTTCGTCGTGCGCAGGTGGCTCACTGGGTTCGGCGTGCAGGGCTTGGGTGAGCATGTCAACGTCGAAGCGGCCGGAGAAAGCCAGCACCTCCCAGATCTGTTTTGTGCCGCGCACACGTTGCAGATGCCGGCACCACCGCTTACGCTTCTGCTCTCTGAGGAACTTAGCGAGACCCCCTTGGCCTGCCCCTTGGGGCTGGCCACCTTGTGGTGGAGTCTTGCCTTTCGCCTTCCCCTCCTCGCCTTTTCCCGCAGACTGAGAAGCTCCGCGAAAACCTTGTGGCGGAGTCTTGCCTTTCGCTTTCCCCTTTTCGCCTTTTCCCGCAGGCTGAGAAGTTCCGCTAGAACCCTGTGGTGGAGTCTTGCCTTTCGATTTCCCCTTCTCGCCATCTCGTTCCTGTAGCGCCAGCTGGTGTTCGGACTGCTCGTACTCTGTGCGAACACGTCTTACGAGTTCCCCGCGCTCGGCGTCGGCGAGGACGCGCCGCAAGTCGGCGATGTTTTTGCTCCGCAGAAACTCATGGCGAACCTTAAGGACAGACGCAATGGCTCGGACAGTCTCCGCCTGCGACGCGAAGGCGGTGTCGCAGTCCGAGCCAGGCTGAGAAGCACCAGCTGGATCTTGGTCCGCAGGCTGCGTGGACGTCCTCTTCTTGAACAGCAAGAGGCTGAGGTGGTGGATGAGTTTCGGGTCGTAGGCCGCGTCATGCCTCTGGTCCCAATACTCCCTCAACTCCTTGCGCAGCTCATGCGCGCGCCGACTAACTTCATCCTCGGGCTCGTCGCAGGCTGCGGCGTCGGCCGGCGACGTCGGCGAAAGCGGTGCATGCACAGGAGCGGGGCTCGGGGGCCGGGACCAGTGCACCGAGGAGCCCTCCACCTCGGTCTCTGAGCCGGCGTCGGCGTCAGGCAATCCTCCGAATGCAATCTTCCGCCTCTTTGTCTCCCCAGGCTGAGAAGCATCAGGGGCGGCGAGCACGACCGCAACAGCATCGCGTGCGTCGTTTCGCACGCCACGGCCCATGTAGGAGGCGCCAGCAGCGACGGGCTGGAAACGCGCGACTGCTCCGCAGACTGCCACGCTGTCGCCTTTGCGGTCCGCCGGGGGGGCGAAGACTTCCCATAACGCCTCGTCGTCAGTGTGGCGTTGGAAAGCTTCGCGCGCCTCCTGCGCGGTCAAGTTGTTGTCGCCGACTACGAGGCGCACGACCGGCGTGCCCGGCTCCCCAGTACTGAGAAGCACGGCGATCCCGTCCAAGTGGAGTCGGAGAAACCGAACTGCTTTCTGTCGCGTGTGAATGCTGGGAGGGTTGCTTCCGCAAACGATGTGCATGTTTCCGACGACCACGTGAACTTTGTCATGGCCTCCTGTCTGCACGTTGAACCGTGAGATCACTGCGTCCACTTGTCGCGCGATGGGGACGTGGTAGATGTATGTGTCCTCGCGCAGGGACACGTCAGCAGGCTGAGAAGCACCGCCGAAGCCCCATAGGCTCAAGTAGTTGGCGACCTCGCAGAAGCCGATGCTGTCGCCGAACGGCTTGGTCAGGATGTCTTTCACGTTGATGGATGCTCGACTCAGGCCTTGACGAAACGCACCGACCTCGCACCCAAAGAAAAGGTCAGCATCGACTTCCTCGACTATCTTGGCGCAAATCCGCCCGAAGTTGGAGCAGTGAGTCTTGGAGTTCTTCCCCATCATCATGCTCTGCTCGAACCCGAAGTTAAAAGAGGCGACCGTAAAAGACGCAGGTTGAGGATCACAGCGAGCAGGCGCGGCCGCAGGCGTGTGTCGGTCTTCCTCCGCAGGCTGAGAAGCACCGCGAGAAGCCGAGGCTGCAGGCCGGTAAGGATAGGGCCAAGGGAGGGCCATCCTGGAAGGGCACGTCCTGAACCAAAGACGGCTGTCAAGACAATGACGATGACGATGGCGATGACGATGCTGATGCTGATGCTGATGATGATGATGGCGATGATGATGATTTTGATGATGATGATATGATGATGCTGTTGCTGCTGGTGATGATGGTGGTGGTGGTGATGGTGGTTGAGGTGATGGTGGTGGTTGTGATGATGATGATGAGAATGATACTGATGATGATGATGATGATGACGATGATGATGATGATGACGGTGATGATGGTGGTGGTGGTGATGATGATAATGATGATGATGATGATGATGATGATGATGATGATGATGAGGAGGAGGAGGAGGAGGAGGAGCAGGAGGAGGAGTAGGAGGATGATGATGATGATTATGATGATGCTGTTGCTGCTGGTGATGATGGTGGTGGTGGTGATGGTGGTTGAGGTGATGGTGGTGGTTGTGATGATGATCAATTGGCTCCGGGCATCCAAAATGTGGCCCGGGAATGGAGTTCTGGGAAATAGAGAAGCACGAAGTGGCCTACAGTTGGCTCCGGGCATCCAAAATGTGGCCCGGGAATGGAATTCTGGGAAATAGAAGAGCACGAAGTGGCCTACAGTTGGCTCCGGGCATCCAAAATGTGGCCCGGGAATGGAGTTCTGGGAAATCGAAGAGCACGAAGTGGCCTACAGTTGGCTCCGGGCTTCCAAAATGTGGCCCGGGAATGGAGTTCTGGGAAATCGAAGAGCACGAAGTGGGCACGAAGTGTGTGACTGTATGCGAAAAACGATCCCCGCCGGCAAACCCCAACAGCCCCCCAACTGCCCCCCAACTGCCCCCAACGGCTGCCCAGACCCCCCTGTGGAGTAATGTTGAAGTAATGTTGAAGTAATGTGCTGCTCTCTTTTGAGACTACTAGAAACCTATCAGTCTTCGATGTTAGGTAAAAACAGCATGCACCGGTGAGGGGGATCAACAATACGCATTCTTCAGAAAAGAGAGTTCAACAACACAAACAACAACAACAACAACAACAACAACAACAACAACAACAACAACAACAACAACAACAACAACAACAACAACAACAACAACAACAACAACAACGCAACAAGCATAATCCTCACCACGGATCCCCACTTCAGCCACGCACCCAGGGACAATGAATGACCGTTCGGCCCCCTCACTCTCATAAACATAACCAAACACTGCCCTCTGGGGACGGACCGTCCAGGTTTGCGTCAAGGTCTGATCCGCCGCCCCAAGGGAGCCCCGCCTTGGAATAGCTTCCATGCCAAGCCCGCTCGTCTCCCAAGCCGGCCCCCTCGAACAAATCATGGATGGCGCGCGAAATCCGCCCGAACTGCTTCGAATGCACGGCCCGCGTCGGATGCGCGCGCCTGGTCTGCGCGCCCCCCCCCCGCGACGAGCGCGAGGGGCTCCGGCTCGGAGATCGCCGGGGGCGCGCGCGGGCATGAACTTGTCCTTGAACTCTGAATGCGCCAATTCCAGGCCGCGCGTGGACCGCCCATCGGAATGACGACGGAGATGGCGCCAGAGACCCTGGCCCACGGATCGACGCGTTCGCGCGCCAAACACGCGGACGAACAGTAGACCGCCCCACTGAATGGAACTCCTTGGGGATATTCTCTCTTCGGAAGCACATGCGCTTGAGGCGCGCGCTTCGGGGGGGGGGGGCGCGGCGCGGGCGGGCGGGGGGGGGCGTTGATCTAGGCAGACGCGCGCCCGGCAAGTGCCCGCGCAATGACGACGACATCACTTCGTGCAAAGCAAATCTATTTTACCCAGGTTGGCGCGTCAACGCGTGGAACGAACGTTCCATTAATCCGTTGCGTCGATCGCCGAGAGAACGTTCGGGCCCCTGCCCTCGACCGCAACGCCGCTGGTCGCCGAAGCCCAAATTACCCCGCAAGGGCGCGCAAAACGCCCGCGGGCATCAGCAGCGCTCTCCGAGCGCAGGGCACCGGCATCGTCTCTCCACCCGCTGCGCCAACGCGGGCGCGATCGCAAGCCGACGCCCCGCCCGATACGCGCAGACCAAGACGAGCGCGAGTGCATCCGCCACCGCGAGCTGTCGCGCCGCTCTTGCAGGTCAGACGATTCTAAATTGAAGGGCAGCCGCTGCACGTCAAAAGCCCGCCTCTGCCCGTCGAAGGCCCGCAGCGCCATCGTCGAGAGGGCGCGCGAAGTCGCGCGAAGTTCGGCGCCTTGGCCCGCTGGCGAGCGAGATCCCCCCGCGGCCGCGCGGGCGTCTCTCGGCGGAAAGCAGGACTCACAAACCGCAGAACAAGAAATAATAACACAGAGAGTGAAACATGCATGACGTTCAGATGCGATCGCAGTTGCCCTCGCCGTCGCCTTGGCCGATGCACGATTGAAAAACCTGCGCGCCTCGAAAATCACGCGCAGAACGTCATTTTTCAGCCCTCGGACTTCCAGAAAACGCATCCAATTCATGGTTCGCTTAGTTGCTAAGCCTTGCCACTGAACCCTAGCCCACCGTGGCTCATCTGCACGAGGCAGAGACCCAACAACCAGTTGAGAGCAACCCTGTCGGATGCATCATGCTGGGAGTACCTGCCTCCGAAACCTCCCGCTGAAACGTTCCAGGACCAGGCGCTAGCGAGACAAACCCACCGCCACTCCCCGCATTACGCGAGGGCGGGTTGGCAAGACATGGCCAGGGAGAGGAACAGGTCGGATATTGAGGTTATTTTTCATTCAGCTACTCACGTATCACCCGCCAGCATGAATCCAATCGCACTGATACTAAAATCATGAGAACAATCCGACCTGAGGAGGAAAGAGGAGGAGAAGCAACGAGCAAGAAGAAAGCAGCAATGGACTCTGCGCGGATATCCCAACCGTTCACTCATATAACGAAGCAGACGCACAGTAGCAGTCCAGAAGGAGGAGAGAAAACAATGGGATTCAGACGCGGACGTCTCAGTGACGTATCTGCCAAGATCGTGCATTGGCAAACGTATACACTTAACCTCACCACGATGCGAAGGCCCGACCGGCCACCACTATACTTAGGCCTCACACTGCGGCAACCAGAGGAACACGCAGTACAGCGCAGACTGAAGATGGGGCAAAACCGCAGATGGCAAGAGACGCGTTCATATTCTTAGCATGCAAAAGGGGAATCATGACGAGGAGGAAAACGAGAAGACAGAGCGCGGTGACGTGCGCAGAAAGCCTCAATGCTGGAACGGCCGTAACTACATAGCACCCCGCATATGCGGACAAAGGTGAGGGGGCGGCGGGGACGTCGGCAGTCTGCGACTCTGGAGAAGCCCGCCGCAGGCGCCAATGTACCGATTATACAACGAACCTGCCGCGAGCGCCGATTTTTTCATTAAACCAATGTGGGTACGTCGCGGGTGGGTCGCGGGTGGGTCGCAAAGGTGTCGGGGTTGGGTCGCTGTTGGGTCGTGACTGGGTCGTTGTTGGGTCGTGACTGGGTCGCGGGTGGGTCGCGGGGTGGTTCGCGGGTGGGTCGCCAGTGGGTCGCGGGTAGGTCGCAGGTGGGTCGCGGATGGGTCGCGGGGTGGGTCGCGGGTAGGTCGCAGGGTGGGTCGCGGGTGGGTCGCGGGTGGGTCGTGGGCGGGTCGCGGGATGGGTCGCGGGTTGGGTCGCGGGGTGGGTCGCGGGGTGGGTCGCGGGGTGGGTCGCGGGTGGGTCGCGGGGTGGGTCGCGGGGTGGATCGCGGGGTGGGTCGCGGGTGAGACGACGACAACAAACAGCAAACAACTAACAACAAGCAACAACACCACCAACAGCAACACCAACACTAACACCAACAACAAGGTTGACACGTGACTTTGTTGTCCGTTCGCCAGGAAACTTGGTCAACGCTTGTCCTTACAGGACAACCCGCGACCTTGCTTCCGGGGGTAAGCACCCCCCCGGCAACCAGTAACCAATAACCTCGGCTTCCATTCCTCGCTCAGCTGTATGTGCAAACCGCCTAAGACTCCTTGCCACAAGAATGCGCAAACCGCCTGGGACTCCTTGCCCCCCCCAAAAATAATTCTCGAGGTCTTCGGGCCCACTCCGAAGAAACCGAACATGGGCAAACCGGTTAGAACTTCCTATCGCAAACGGTTTCTCGGTGGTTCCGGGCCTCGTCCGAAGGAGCCGCCGATGGGCAGACCGCCCAGGACTTCCTGCGCAAGAAACGAATCCCCGGGTGAGCCATTGTCAACGGGAACGCGCCCCGCGCGGGATCAGGGTTCGCACGAGGGCGCGGCTGCTCTGGTCTGTCCAGGGGGCATGCGTTGCCGCGCCCTTGCACCATAGCGTTTGCGCTGCATTCGCGCGGCGCCGTGCCTCTCAAGTCGGAATAAACTTTCGGAGCGCCGATGTAAAGATTGTATGGGAATCCTATGCGATCCTGTAAGATCCTATAGGGATCGTTTATGGTGGGCTCTCTAGGAATCCCATGCGATCCTCTAGGATCCAATAGGAACCGTGCAGGGGTTGTACAGGAACCCGGTGTGATCCTATAGGGTCCTATAGGGCTCCTCTAGGGATGTATTGGATGCGGTGAGGCGGGTCGGGAGCGCGCTCTCCTCCAGAACCGAGGGGGGAAGGGGGGCGCATTGCTGCCGCCGCCGATCACGGAGGGGCGCGGGGAGAGAGAGAGAGAGAGAGAGAGAGCGAAGAGAGAGAGAGAGAGAGAGTACAAGAGAGAAAGTGAGAGAGCAAGCGAGAGAGAGAGAGAGAGAGCGAGACAGTCGCCGACGCCGGCCAACAACTGAAAGGTCTTCTCACGCAGGTCTCCCAGGAGGCATAGCTATACACGCTGGCGACCTGCAAGGCGAAGCCTCCATAGACCTTGAGAAAAGTTTGGATAGCCCGAGCCTTGCTGATGATGCGCCCCTCTGGTGGGATAGACCCCGCGAAAACGACCTGGCCAGGGAAGCCACTCCGCCCGGGGGTCCCTCTTCGAAGTGCTGATCGCTGGGGCGAACACCCCCCCCACACCAAAGATCGAAAACCCATTCTGAAGCCTCGCCCAACAATACGTTGACACAGTGCTGGCGCTCCTGGATACAAGCCGCAAGAAACCTGGCAATCACCAGCGGAAGTCTAAGCCATATAGCTTACAGACTCGATGCTGCGAGAAAGAACTTCGGGCTCTGGTCTGGGTGGGGCAACTACAAACTGAGCATGCTTACTGCTGCCCTGGCCTGGGCGCAAAATGCTGGAGCAGCGGGGGCTCAGACAGGCGGCCCAACCCCAGTAGCAAAAGGAAGATTCCTCGAATGCTCAACGCTGAAAGCAGCAGCCCGGCGAGCCTGAGAGATTCATCTGGCTGGAGCGCCTGGCTCAGAACTCGCGACCCGCAAATGAGGTGTTGCGCTTTTGTCGTGGGGGCCTGCTTGAACGCGCGGGACCGTGCGCTCAGCGCGGGCACGCGCGTCCTCAGCTTCAGCTGGAGCCGCCGCAGCTCCGCCTCCGCCTTGAGGACTACATGCTCCACTGGCTCCAGCTGGTGCAAGGCCACCTCCTGGAGTACCTGGCGCGGTTACTGGAATGCCTGGCGCGACACCTGCACAAACGGTCTGGGCTGGTTCACCTTCGCCTCCTCCCGCCTTGGCCTCTGCAACTCCGGAGGTACCAGTGACTGTGCGTTTCTTGGAAGAGCGGGCAACGTCCTCTAGCTTGGACAAGGCCTCGCCGAACAACGTCTTGGCCAATAGGTTGAGTCCGTCATCGAGCGCAGTCTTGCGAGCGACGGAGTTGACGCGGTCCTCAACGGATACCCAATGCTCACCGTCGTCGTCGAAGATGTTCCGGTAGTCGGGGCGCAAGCCCCCTTGCCGTCCGAAAGGGAACGGATGTTAAGAGGCACGACTTCTACATTCTTGTACGCGGGCATGTAGCCGCGTGGAGCTCCGCAACCAGCTTCTTGTGCTGGAGAACGTGCTCCAACAGCTGTGCTTGAATGGCGGCGACGATGTGGCTTTTCTTGACACAATTGTCGTCCGCCCACTTCTGAGGAGTGTCAAGCTCTATTCTCCCATGTTCCAAATGATTGAACTTCACGGTGTCGAAAACGCGCAGCTCGAGAGAACGGATAAGCGGAGAAGGTTCCTTGAGGACAGCCACCTTGTCAGCTGCGTCATCTGCAGGCATTCCTCCAAATCCCGAAGCAGGCTCAAGAGCAGCAGGGATAGCAACGGGTGGTTCCTTGGACGTCCAACGTCATGCCAAGGAGGGGGTGGTGTAGATTCGCCACGGGACGTGCCGCAGTGCTTTGCAGATTTCGTGCCGACCGAGGTCGTTCGAGCACTTGAACATTTGGGTTCTCACACGTCCACTTATCATCATACGAACTATTCTTCTCAACAGTGTCGTACCACATGGTGTTCCACTGCGCACAGGCCGCCGCAACCCTGCGATGCTGACCCCACGTGGAGGGGCCCATTGCTTCTGCTGAGCGAGAGTGGCGGAAGACTGGGCCAGAAGGCCCGTTATTGCCCAGCCATGCTGAAGATCTGGCGAAAGCAAGCTCATGAGAAAGCAAAACTAAAAACTGAGCCAAAGAGGTGTTTTAGCCAAACCGGCTACGGACCGCTGCTGGTGAGGGGTGGAGGGGAAGAGCAAGGGGATGGGGGACGGGGGAGCGAAGGAAAACGGTGGAGCGAGGGGTACGTAGCAAGGGGTGGGGAATGGAACGGGGATGGTGGAGAGAGCGGATGGAAGGGGGATGGTGAAGAGGGATAGAGGATAGGACAGCGAGGGGCGGATGGTGAAATGGATGAGGGAAAGGGGTGGGGGATGGAAGGGGGATTGTGGCGAAAGGGGTACCAGGGGATGGGAGATGGGGGAGCGAAGGGGGAGGAAGTCTCAAATCGGGAGACATCCGAACGGCATCTGCTTGGAGATGGCGCCCACCCGCTGCTATAAGCTGCGCAGCACGAGCGCACCACTTCCGTCCACGGGTACGGACGCAGTGAGGGGAGAACGGATGCGATCAGGATCAGGGGATGGTTGAAGACTGTGAGAGCTGAAGGAGAAGACGCTGCATCTGTCACCGGCGTGCGATTTTCCGCCCGCGGAACACCCCGAACGCTGCAGCAGTCATGGGGCAAGTTTCCTACTGCCTCCTGGTGGCCAAGGCCTCTCCCCATCCGAGCGAATCCCCACTGCAACAACAAGGTGCTCTCGAAAAGACAAGACACTATGAGAGGCGACCTCGCTCGGGTCTGGCAGCTCTAGCGTGTAGCCCTTGTTCAATATGAGGGCGAGCTCATTGTTCGTGTACATGTCCGCGCCTTAACAACATCCAAACCCGAAACGCATAAGAGATTACAGTCGGAAGTACAAGATTCACCATCACGGACGAAGGCAACCAGTTCATTGACACTTCGGCCAACCTGTCAGCGCTTCCAGTTCCGTCCCACTTAGGCCGTTCTGGAGCAGCACGTTCATTCCACATCAAAGCACCTGCAGAGGATCCGTCAGTCGATCCAAAAGAAATTCGCCGAACCAATGGGCACTGGTGTGGGAAATGTTTGACCTCCCCAGATCCCTTCCCATGGATGTCGATTATGCCGGAGTGGAGGCGGTGATGCGAGTCCAAGTCGTTCACGCCTCTGCCGACCGAACGAAAAAAAAAAAAAGCAAACATTGTCGGAATTAGCGCCGCGCCAGACGATGCCGCGACCCCGTGGTAAACAGGAAGCGGCGCGACGCAAGGGCACCATGGGAGGGGAGCGCGCCACAGCGAGTTTTCACACGACACTCCCGCCTCCCTCCCAAGAGACGGGACGGGACGGGCGCCGACACCGCTCCACGAGCATGCGGTTTGGACGCCCGAAATGGGCACGGAAAAAAGGGGTACCATGCCCAAGAACAAATGCTGTCCCAAACCAACAGCGGCCGCTGCTGGGCGGGCGGCCTTCTGTCTCGAATGGGCACGGGCCGCGGCGACGCGGACAGCGAGTCCTGTTCAAAATGAACAGGAGCTGCTGTTGGGCATTGTACCCATTCTTGCAGTACCAATTTTGTGTGTGCATATGCGGGGAGCGCGTACTGCGTAGGACGGCGGTGGGGCCGGAGCCCCTCACAAGAGCACCCTGTCGATCCACCGGCGTCGGGGACCTTGCGGGCGTCTCTGCCTAAGATTGCTCGTCAATTCCAGCTCCCGGAAGAGAGCCTCATATGTCATATGTCCACTTATGTGGACAGCCCGTGGTGACTCTCTGCGCCCATTCCAATTCTTTGTGTCGCACAGTAGCCCAGTTCTCATACAATAGCCACTGTTGACAAATACCCGCTCGGAAACATGAGTAGCGCGTTCAATCCAGTGTCCCTCCGGAAGGACGGGGACGGGAGTGCCAAAAGTCTAGATGGGCGTCTCAGATGCCCTTGGAATCTTCATAGGCCGCCGAAACATCCCAGGTGGTTGCCAAAACGACGCAAGCGGTCGATTGAAGTCTTGGAAAGACACCCAGATAGCCAAACTATTCAAGAACAAGCGTTTTCAGTGTCTTGGATTTCGCAGCACATGAGTAATGCAGACCGCCAGACCTAGCCAGGCCCCAAAATGGCGCAAACAATTTCCCAGACGGCCCAAGACAGCCCCGAAAACTGCCGAGGAGAGATTCTCGAGTAGGCTGCGCCAACCTGGCCCAGGAGGTCCCCCAGAGGGCCCCAGGACGCCCTGAGAGGGCCCCAAGATAACCTCTCGACAATGCAAGGTGTATCCAACAGGGCTCTACTGCACGCATCATGCAACGCATAGAAATGCAAATGCGCACTGTCAAAAAAATGCGATGTAATGCAAATCGTGGAAACACAATGAAACCAAAGACACTTCGACTGGACGCAATGCAAAACAACGCATCAACATCCAAAGCTCGGTTATGACACGAGGTAGCGGTGCAAAACAACAATCCAGCACAACCAACGCAACGCAATACAGCGCAACGCGATACGAACAACACTTTTTACTATCCAGAGGGAGCCAAGCGGCGACAACGGTTGATGAGCAGACGCGGAAAAACGGGAAGAGCAGTAGAGGAGGAGGGGGGAGGAGGATGAACGAGGAGGACAAGCGCGCCCGGCGAGCGCGTGGGGCAACGGCTGCCAGGGCAGCCGCCGCGAAGCCAGCCACAACCCAATTAGCCCGGCGCCGCCGCCCCCCCCAACTCACTAGTCGGGGGTGGCCCGGGTGCGCCGCCAAGCGCTACACCCCGCGCCAAACAGCCACGGCGCCGCTGGCCCGCGCGGGTGGGGGCAGCATCAACGTTGTCAACGCGGCCGCCTTCGGCGGCAGAGTGGGCACCCAACCGGCGCACGGGCGACTCGCGAGGCGCGCCCAATCCGGGGCCCAGCAGCCGCATCGCAAGCACGCGACCCAATTGGGCCCCTGCGACGCCGCGCGCGCCCTCCACGCCCCGTCACCGAAAAGCGCCCGCGCCGCAGCCGCCGGCCAAGGCCGCGGCGCGACGCCCTTGCCCCCCAGCCGCCCCTGCTGCGCCGCCGCAGCGGCCGCGGCTGCGTCATCGGCCACGCGCGGCGCTCGGCGGCGCGGGGGCCCGTCCCATCAGCGGCGACGCACGCGAGGCCCCTCCGTGCCGCGGCTGCCATGACTGACTGGCCATGGGGGCCTCAAGGTCGACGGCGGCCAGCATCGACTGCAGCACCCCGAGGGCGTCGAGCTGCACGAGCCGCCTCTGCAGAAGGGCTGCCCTGACCAGCGGGCGGCTCGGGTCGTCTACCGTCGCCCTCAGCCCTCGGCGCATCCAGCAAGTCGGGGGCCGTTCCGTCTCGCAGATACCCTACTAGCAGGCGTTTGCACACGTGTGCCTCGAGGTGGCGCGAGGGGCCGCGATCCCGGAACTTTTGCGCCCCAGGGTCGTCGCGTCGGGGGCGCCGTAGGCCCCGGCGCCATCGATGCCCCTGCCCTCTCTCCAGCGTGGGCAGCCGGTCCACCGGCGAGGCCCCCGTTGGGCGGCCACCTCCACGGCCGTGGCTCGCCGGCGTGGCCACGCGCGTCACCTCCTCAAGTCGGGCCCGCGCGTGGGGGGGTGATGGCCTCGTGGCGGAGGCGGTTCGCTTGCGCCCGACTCCGCTCCCGGGCCCGCTCGGGGCTGACCCGGGCGGCCAGGGCCACCTGACGGAAGGCGCCCTCAGGATGCCCCGCCTCGGCCCAGAAACTGCGGGAAACGGCCCGGCTCCAGGGGGGCGGAATCCGACGCCAGGGCCCTCCGGCCCGTCGCTCCGCCCGGGCGGCGCGCCCGAGCCTCATGAGAGGGCCCTCCCGGGTCGCGGGCGCCGCTCCTCCCGGTGGAGGGCCCGCTGGGCGAAGGGCCCCTTCGCGCCCCCCCCCTTCGCTCGCCGGCCCCGCGCGTGGCTCCCCCCGCAGGAAAGGCGCGCGCATAGGCGCGTGGCTCTTGCAGTCCGGGAAGCCTCTCCGCCAGGAGGCCCCCCCCCTGAACGACGGCCCTAGGGGCTGGCTTCGTCGGACCCGCTGGGGCGGAGCCTAACGCGGTAAAACCGCGCCCCTGTCGCCTCCGCGCCCCCCGGGGGGGCCTCTCCACGCCGGCGCCCTGGCTGGCGCGCCGAGGAGAGGCGCCTTCGCCCGCGAGGTTGGGGTTCCGCCGGATCCCCCGGGCAGTCCTCCAAACGGGTTTGTCTCGGGCCGGGCGGAGCGGGGGGTCGGCCCCGGGGCGCGGGCGCTTTGGGGGCTCGTGAGCTTGGCCAGGGCCCGGGCCTCCCCCGGACCTCTGGCGAGCCGGCGCCCTTCCTTCCCGTCGCGGGGCCAGGGGGTGCGCCCCCGTCGCCTCGGCAGGCGCGGGGCCCTCCTGACGGCGGGCGCGCCCTTGCCGCCCCCCAACCCGGCGGCGCGAAGGTGCCGGCAACCAGACACCTCGCAGCGCAGGCCATGACAGGCGCCCTTGCATTCCCGAGAGTGGCGCCGGCACAGGGCGGCCAATGGAACCCCTCCGCTGTGACGAGGCCACGCCCGAATGTCGGAGGCGCGCCCGTCCTCGATCAGGCGCGCCGCCGGGTCGGGGGCCCTGCGATCCGGACTCGTTCCCCGACGCTGGAGGCTGCAGAGCTCTCCTATGGCGTCCATCCAGGCAACGGCCTCGGCCACGCAGGGGCCCCATTCTTCCTCCTCTACAGCTGGGGGGGAGCTCCTTGCCTCCACTGGGGCCGCGCATTGCCCCCCCTCCGGCTTCGACGCCTGCGGCAGAGACAACCCGCGCCCAGGATGCGGTCGAGCCAGGCGGTGAATCGTCCTCGGGCCAGATCGAAGCGCCACCCCTATGGGCGGCGATTGCGGGGCCCCCGACCCCCCGATCCTCACCCAGGTCTAATATGGCCCTGGCGCCCACCACTGCGCATTTGCGCAAGTGCAGGGCGCGAGGCCCCGCGCTTCCGCAGGTGGCGCCATCCTGGCAGGGATGGATCACCTTCGATCCGCCTGCTCCGAGGCCCGCCCTAGCAGTGGGCCCGCGCAGCTGCGTGCCCGGGGGCAATAGAAATATTGCCCATGACGCTTATCCTCCTTGATGGGGTCTCCGCGCAGGCCCCCGTCGAGCTAGAACCATTGCCCGCGCGCTTCTCCCGCGAGGTGAACGGGGGGGCGAGGCGGCTGGTCGCTTCGAGCCCGAACTGCGCCCTTGAAGAAGTCGTCGTCCACGGGGCGGGCGGCCAGGCGTCTCCAATCCAGCTCCAAGAGGAAGAGCCGGCAATCCTCCACCAACGTGCGCCACTCCCGAAAGAGGGGGGGCCGGCTGAACCGCGAGTAGATCCAATAGAACGGGCGCACTCCCCAATCGATCGTGAGCAAGAAGAAGGAGACGCCCATGAGGGGCGCCCATGCCATGCAGCATGCGTAGACCCTTTCCTTGAAGTCGATCCAGCGCAGCCCCAAGAAGCAATGAGGCCGCGTCCGTGCCTCCCAAGACCCACCGCATGAAGCGGGCCGCGATGCCGTCGTCGCTGGCACGTCGTACCTCAAGGATTACTTCCCGCCTGCGCCCCGAGAACCACTGGCGCCCCCCCACCATCCCAGACCTCCTCCGGGTCAGATCCTTCCACGCGGGCAAGCCAGGCCAGGAGGGCTTCCCAGCTCCCCTGCCACAGCCGTGGGAGGGGGGCCAGGCCCCCCCTCGCCCTTGCCAGTCGCGCCCCGAACTGCGCCCTCGGCCGACGAGGACATCTTGGACTCCGCCGCGGGCCAGGTTGGATCATCCTTGACCCTCGGCCCTCGGGGGCATCCCGCCGCCGGCGCCTCGAGGGGGGGGCGCGAGGGGCTCATCAGGGAGGGTCTCCCGCGAAGCGCGCCCGCGGGCACCATGGCGGGTGCAGGAGCATTCCCAAGCGAGGGGGGGGGCTCCGGCCTTGGGGCCCTCCGTCTAATAGCTGGAGGTCGGCCCACCCGCGGGGCCGAAGCATTGGGGGGAGCGGCAGCGGAGGCCCGCACTGGCGGCGGCACCTTTCCGCTCCCCATGACCCACCAAGGACGGCTCGCGCCCCTTCGCTGGCCGTGCCAAGGAAGGCGCGTCCTCCGCCGGGGAAGCTGTGGAAGCCCTGGGCGCCGGCCTCTGGCCTCCTGGGGCCAGCCGCGCCTGCTCGCCCCCACCCCCGGGTGGTGGCACCGGAACTGTCCGTCCGGGTTGGAGCCGCAGGGGGTCTGGACTCCGGACCTGCGCTTCCCAGGTCCAGGAACGGCACCCCCTCGGCCTGCGGGTTCTGGCTCCGTTTCCATGGCCCCACTCCCCCAGTCACGGGCCCCCCTCCCTGGGGGTCGACTGCGGGCCCCCCGAAGCCTCCCAAGGAGGTCAGGGATGCCATTAATGGGACCTGAATGGCGATCACCAGCATCGCCACTGTGTGGGTTCAGGGGCGCGCGCGCGCGTGTGCATGCGCGCGGGCCCCTCCGCAAAAACGCAGCTCCAGCCGATACGGATAGAAAGGGAGGAAGAGAGAAAGAGAGAGAGAGAGAGAGATACGCGTGCATGCAGCAGGACATCCTAACGTCAAAGCAATGCACTACGAGCCCCATTCAGTGGATGGTCTGAACATTTGGCAGGCACCATGCCTGGCCGCAGTTTCGCCGTAGGGCCCGAAGGGGCGCCCAACATACAGATTCTATTTTAAGTCTTAGAGAGGTTGTGGCATTCTCGTCTTTTCGGGCATCCGTCGGTTCGGAGCGGCCCAAGAGGCCTCCAAGATAAATGAACGACCTCAGTGGGCCGGGCCCACTGAGGTCGTTCATTTACGGCCCAATACGGCCTCAGTACGGCCCCGCGACAGCCCGAAGAGACCGAGTAGACGGCGAAGAGGGCCCCAAGACGGCCCACTTGAGTCTCAACACTGCTCCAAGGGAGCAGAGGACAACTTCAGTACGGTCCGAATTAAATCAAATAAGTGAGGTCAAGAGGTGATCGATGTGACGGCGCTTTTCTTACGCCTCCACTTGCCACCAATTTCACCAGCGTCACCGCTCACCAACATCATCATGATCATGATCATCATCAGTCCCAAGATTATCGTCAACATGCTCGTTCCCACCATCCTGGTCATCATCATCGTCGACATTGGGTCTTCACCATTCGACCAACCGACACCCAGATGGCTCTGCTGGCGCGGCGGCGGTATTCGTCGCGAGTCATCTGCATATTCGGACAATTGATCGATCGCACTCCCTATCGATCGCATTATCGATAAGGAGATCGATAGTGCGATCGATCATGAAATCGATCGTGGGGTCGAGAGAGAGGTCGATAGTGAGATCGATAATGGGACCGATATTGAAGTCAATTGAGTAAGATCCGCATTGAGATCGAAAGTGATATCACTAGTGAGATCGATACTAAAAGGGGTAATGAATCAATAGTGAGATCGATTGAGTGAGATGGATCGTCGTGAATGAGATCGATCATGGGATCGATCGCGGAACCCCACAGCCCACCGAAATCGGCCCAGAACCAGCAACCGGGAACCAGGGAACTCGGAACCGGGAACCAGGGAACCACAGAACCTGGGAAACCGGCCGCCCGCCGAAGTCGGCCAGGAACGTTCGCCGAATCTTTCAACCTGCGCTAGGACCCCTTCAGGGTGAGCGCTGATTGGGGAAGCACGCAGGTAGTCGCAAAGCATCACAGAACAATGAAAGACGCGTCAAGGCTTTACTATGCCAAGAAAATTATATCTATATGTGTACATATATATATATGTATATATATATATATAGAGCCAGAGAGAGAGAGAGAGAGAACACAAAAAAAAACAATGTGATGCAAACCGAGGCAATGCAAGACTATACAACGTAACGCATAGCAGAACAAAGTAATTCAATACAGGTCAATGCGAAACAATGCGCTGCAAAACAAAGAAGCAAAACACCCAAAAGAAATCAGATCAAGCCAAGAAAACCCATGGGGTCTGTGGGAAACTCTCGAGGAACCGTCAAGGGCACCCCAGAGGATTCCCAATGGACCCGGCGGGACCCATTGAGGAGGACGCCGGGTCCGAGAAGAGTGAACTTTCGCGTCTGCCGTTGGGATGATAGGCCGTCCTCCATCTCTAGTGGCCGGCGGAATCAGCCAGTGAAGAGGGAGCAGGAGGGACGACCTGCGAATAGGATGAGGATGGATGAGGGTGGTGAGAAGGGGAAGGGTGGGAGGCAGGGCGGAGGACGAGGACGAGGCGGACAAGGAACACGATGACGAGGGGCAGGTGGAAGGGGATAGCAAGGCGGAGGAGGAGGAGGCAAGCAACACGAGACTGGTGGTAGGCTCCAGCCGCGCACCCGATGTTCCGAAATGCCCACCAGCGCGGACCTTACTGCCCGTGTCTCCCGCGAAACTGCGTCTATCCTCGAATGCACGGTGGAAATCAGCCAAGAACCGCGTGTACGTCGGAGGGCAGAGGAGACCACGGCAACACTGCAGTACCGCTAGGCGGTTGGCTGAATGCACGCTTCACTGGCTCGGCACATCGCGCGGGTGGTAAAGCATAGCTTCAACTAAGGCCAAGGCTTAGGGCATCGAAGCTCTCTTCCAGCGAGCGCCGCAGTTCGTGCACCTCAGAAGCACCGTCACAATCCAAGAACATACGCGTGTGCCACTTGCAGGGGTTCATCCGCCTATTTCGCAAAGGATCGAAGCACATCAGACGAAACCAGACTGTCTGCAGAACTTCCTCGACCACACACCCGAACACACTTATTCCCAACATGCCTTTGGGGGGTTACATGATAGCAGGTGGCGGCGGAAAAGAAGTCAAGAATCGCAGGTGTGGCATGGGATCGAAGTGAAAAGGGGTGCCTTCCACTGGGAAATTGGATTCGGTTTCGGTTTTGGCACTTCGGTGGCAGCGCCTTATAGAAGGTGGGGTTTCACGGGGAAGGCTCGCCGGAGAGAGGTGCGCGCTCAAGCTGTTGTTGGCTCGGAGCGCGCCTCCGAGCCCTCTCTCGCGAAGGGAGGGGGGGCCCCTACGGAGTGCGACTGGCGACTGCCATGGTGCTCGCCGCCTGGCTCGTGGTCCCAGCGATGGCCGCCGCGCTGCGCTGGGGCGCTGGCGCTGCTGCCGCCGCTGGGCTGCCCACGCCGCTGGGCCTCCGCCCCGCGGCTGGCGCCACCCCGGCGCCTGATCCCCAGCCGCCGCCCGCCGCCACCGCGCGGACCGCCGGCGGACCCTAGGCGTACAGAGCGCCCGCGGCGCCCGCTTGATCTGGACGCCGTGTCCCTCTTGGCGTGGGAGGCTGCTACCACGGAAAGGAAACACACGTATGATGACGCTGACCATCTAGCCGCAGCGGGCTTCTTGAGGCTCGATGACGCGGTCTCTTTGGTGGCTGCGCCGGAGACCCTTGTGAAGAGCCGACAGCTGCTGAACTCGTTCGGGGAGTCGAGCAGACGCCGGAATCCCGCAGGGAAGCATCACAACCGCCAAAGGCGGCGCCACCGCCCCCCGTGGCGACTCCGCCGCCGAGTGCCACCTACGAGTACGGCTACGAATGCTACTGGGAGGATCCAGAGACCCCCGCGCCGCGGATCGAGGTCCGTCGCGACGGCGGCCTTGGAGACCTCACCATCGAGGACGGAGAAGAAGACGCCGAGGAGGACCACGAGGAGGAGAGCTTCGAGGAGATGGGGGAGCCGCCTGGTGCAGGCCCCCTCGCCCTGGTACCCGCTGCTGCCAGGTGGTGGCCCGCCTGGGGAGCCGCCGCCCCGCCGCATGCGCGTGCCGCCGCGGCGTGCGCGTGCGCGTGCCGCCCGCCAGGCTGTGGGCCCGCTTGGGCGCGCTGCAGCCGCCGCCAACCCGGCGGCAGGCCTCCTCGGGACCCCCCTTCGCGCCAAGCCTGGACCATCGCGTTCGGGAAATACGCTCGGATCGTCTGGTTCGCAGTTCTGGCCACCCTGGGATGCGATCGGGGGTCGGGGGGGCGGGATCTTTGGATTGCGTTCGGCCCGTGACGAGCCTGCGCCGGATGGTGCTGCAGCCGCTGCCGCCCGGGCCCCCTGGGCCCGCCGCCGCCCACGCCGACGGAGCTGGTTGGCCCTGGGACCCCGCAGCCTGTGGACAACGCGAGGTACAGCGAGATTCGGGCCCGCGGCCATCTGCGGCACCTCGTTGTCGTTGTGGAGGGCCACGCGGCCAGGGTCAGCAGAGGGTCACGAGCAAGGTCACAGGCACGGGCATCGGACCTCATCTACGACTGCGAAACGGTCTGGGGGTCCACTTCGAGACGTTTACGCCGGCACCTGGAAGACGCCCCGGCGAAGAAGCTGCACCTGGGCCGCGAGTCGCCCCGTCAGGACATAGGCGACTACGCCTTGCACCTGGGCAACACCACCTCGACGCTGGTCGAACTGGGCCGACTTGCTGATCCAGAGATGGGCCGAGGCCAGCAGCTCGGCCCGGTGGCAAGTGGCGCCTGCCGCTTCTTCGGGGTCGCTGGGTGGCTGCTATGGGTCTGCGGCTGTAAGTGTCTGGCCCGCGGCTGCGGCTGCGCTGGGCGCCAGGGCGCACGCTGTTGCAGCTGGCGCTGCTGCTCCCGCCGGCGCGGGCCAGCGCAGCCGCCTGAGATCACCGCGCACGGAGACCTCTCGGAGACGGGGTCGGAGCTGGAGGAGCGCAAGTGCTGCGCGAACCAGATCCTGTTGGCACTGGGCGAGTGCCAGGATCAAGCTTCGCAAGATGATGTCCCGCTGCTGGCGGAGGACGCCGACATGTAGGGCATGCGAGAGCCGCCTGAGGCCAGAGGCCCGCCTCTGCCACAACCACGAGTGCTGGTATCGCGCCACGCTCTTGGAGTAGCGCTGATCGCGGGCTGGCTGCCCCCACCTCGGAGACGTCGTCGCCAACTGCATGCGCTACTGCGCCGACCACGTCGCCGCAGCCCTGAGCCAGGCTCAGGGTCCGCCGATGCCGCCTCCGTCTGCGCCCCCCCCCCGGGATTCGGCGCGCGGCCGGCGACTCGGGGCCGCGGCCCCGCCCCAGGACGCCGCGGCCTGGGATCCGCGGCCGCCGAGCTAAGCGACATCCACCCCCTCGCGGCGGAGCAAGGCATCATCTGCATGGCGCTGGTCGCGCGCGTTGACGACGAGACGGCGCCGCGCCCGTCGCCGCCCATCGCTCCCGCCCAGGCTGGGACAGCTGGCGGATCGCGATCGCGGCCCTCGACTGGATCGCGAAGGTTCCGCGCGAGGTGAGCCCGCTCACCAGCGGCCGCCTCGCCGCGGAGGCCCAAGGCGCACCGCTGCTCGACGCGCCCACCAACGCAGATCACATCCCACAGGGGGTAGCCGCGGACGGCAGCAGCGTGGGCCTGGCCGAGATCAACCTCCTGCAGATGCATCGGCGGCTGGAACGGCTGGAACACGCTCTAGTGAGCGTCGCCGCCAGAGCACCAGCCGACGACGAGGCCGTCGAGGACGGAGGCCAAGAAGACCCACTTGGCGAGCCAGCGCCACCAGGCCCATCGGCGGACAGGACGCTGGGGGGGCCCGGGGCGGGTCGCCCCGCGGAGCGGCGCGAGCCGCCGAGCAGTGACGACCGACCTGCTCCGAGATCGCCAGCAGGAACCCGACGTTCTGGACCGAGACGTCTTGCGAGCTCTCATCACGGACGAGGCTCGCCGCCGACTGCCGGGGCCTGCAGCCCTCGCTGAAGAGCTCCTGGAGGAAAGGCGCTTTCAGAGCAGTTCCAGCACACGCGCGGCTTCGACGATCTGGGAGCAGCGGCCGACGCGATCGCGGACGCGTTGCTGCACCTGGCAGGCCTGGAGGGCCCCGTGCCTCTCCCCGACGCCGAGGTCACGGCGCTGCGCGTCATCGCCCGCTCCCTTTGGGAGCGGGAGGCGCCCGCTCCGCCGCCCGCCTGCCGATGGCGCAGCCCCCCGGCGATCCAGGGCGCCTGGCCCGGGCACCCCCGCGCGGGGTGCGCGGGCGCCCTCGCCGGCGAGGGGGCCGCGTCAGCGCTCCCCGGGATGGCCGCGTCCTGCAGGGGGGTCGCGCTCGAAGAGTGGGTGACCCAGCCGCGAGGCAGGGGCGAGGGCTGGGCTCCCAGGCCGCCAGGGCCTGGAAGCCAGGCGGCGGCGGGGCCGAGCCCCTTCCGCATCGAGGCCCCCGCCTTCGCGCCGACGAGCCAGACGCTGGCGCCCTGCGCCGCCACCCGATCGGCTTCGGCACGCCGCTGCAGGCCGCCACCCGCCAGTTCGGTTTGGCCGGGGCCCAGGGGGCTGGCATCGGCGGCCGTCGGCTCGGCCGCCCGCCCAGCCTGGGCGGCGCCTACGCGCGGGGGGGCCCGAGCAGGACCTCGCCGAGTTCTGCTGCAACGGATGCCTCAGGGGGCCATTCAAGCACAAAGACGGCGCCTACACCAGCGCCAGGGCAAGTGCGCAGAACCGACAGACCGATAACCTGATCGGCGTGGACGTCGCCTGGCTCTGCGGCAAATGCTGGCGCTTCGGCGCGACCTGCTCTAGGGCGCCCACTCCCGAGGGCCAGGACATATGCGCCTGGCTGAAGAACACCGCGGACAACTCCAGTGCCAAATGCCAAGGTGCCAAAAGTCATCCCCGAAGGAGAACCGCGGAACACCAGAACCGACGCCCTACTGGACAAAACAGTGCTGCCGCAGTCTGACCCCGGCGACCCCGCCACAGTCGGCACCGCGCTGCCTCCAGTCTCCAGTCGCCACGCAGGACGGGCGCCTCGGGACTCCCTTCGCGACCAAGAACGCCCCCATGCTCCACTGCGACGGGTTCCCTGCGGCCGCCCCGCAGCATCACTGGGAACCTGGGCAGCTTGCGGCCAGGATGTTGGCCCGCGGCCCCGGCAAGCCTGCGTCGTCGTCTAATGCCATCCTGATGCATGGGATGGTGCCCTGCCATCACTGGGCGGAGATGCGTCGATCCCGCCAGTGGAGCGCTGCCCGAGGAGCCTCGGCAGCAACGGTGCATAGAACGTGGCGGCAGTCAGCAAGCAAAACAAATCTTGGCCTGATGAGTTCTGAATTAGCGTGGAAAATGAAAGCAGGAAAGGGCAGGAACGGGAGGGGGGGTTGGGCGGCTCGCGCGGCTGGGTCAATCCAAAGGTTGCGGATCAACAAACTGCCAGGCCAACGCGATAAACTATCTCCAAAGCCCTCTGTTTTTCTCCAGCACAAGCTTGAGAGGGCGCCGGGCCGAGGAGCCTCGGCAGCAACGGTGCGTAGAACGCGGCGGCATTCAGCAAGCAAAACACTCTTGGCCATACACACGGCTATTATAATTGGTGCACTGGTTATACCGCTATCCTTCACAGATGTTCCACAACCGTCTTAATCGAACAACACATGAGGCGTCTACCAAGGCTCTAGCCAAGGCTTTACTCAAGGGCTTTGGATAAGGCTGGGCTACGGCACTCCAAAATTGGCCTCCCGGGGCTTTGTCTTCGAGAGTTTGGTGCGTACAACCCGAACGCTCGCAGATCCCTCTACCGTGGCACTTTCGCCCGCGACCAGAGGCGAAGCCGCGTGCGCTTTCGCCGCGGCTCGCCCCACATACAGAAATCAGCGAAGACATCTCGAACATCGTTGCGCCTCGCGAGGCCCAGCGCAGGCGGGCAAAACCACAATCTAGAACATGCGGGATTCTCGAGCCCCCCCGGCATTCCCCGAGCATGAGAAAGCCTGGCTAGCGTCACGGAGGCCTGCATCAACTTATCATGTACCTAACTGCGCTCTGGAACGATCGGCTATGGACAAATTCGGCAGGCCCAGAGGGAACTCCTTAGACCGCAGAGGTCTGGGCCCCGATTTTGTGAACCTACGGGCCATCGAGAACGACGTGCAAAGTGTGCCTATCCAAAGGATGCACTTCGCCACTGAATCCAGCTCAGCGTCTCTAGGCTGGCTGCCTTGGTGAGATTGAACTTCGCTCCTCGAAGGTTGCCCCACTCCACTGCGGTGGCGCCTCGCGCTCGCAGTGCGGCGGCCAGACTACCCGAGCCCTTGAAGACCTCGACGGCGATGCGTTCTCTGCCCAGGCGCACTCGGTTGAGCGTCGCGTGGAGCTGAGCCCGGACAGGCTGGACAGTCGCAGCAGGCTCACGCGCGGCTGCCGCTGCGCCGCGGGCGGCACCGCCGCCGCCGACAGCGCCGGGCGCCCGTGCCTCTCGCATCTTCTGACCGAGGGCCAGGCCTGCCGGTGCCGCGCTTGGCCGCTACCTGCGACCTGCGACCCGCGATCCCGACGGGACTGGCTCCGCCGCGCCTCTGTCCGGGCAGAGTGGCGACGAGGCCTCTCGGGCCCGGCGCCGCCAGCGACCCCTTGGGCTCCGCGAGCGGCTGCGCGAAGCCGAAACTCCACAGCGGCGCGCGGGGCTCCAGCCGCGCCTTGCGCTCGCCTGGCGCAGGCGGGCCCCGGGGGAGCTTGGTGACGCCCCGCGGCGGCGAGTCGCACTGTTTGCCCGTCTTGATAGGCGCCAGCAGCCCCTCGGGATGCAGCCGCAGCGACCACCCGCGAGACCCGCCTCGCCGGCCCTGAACTGGCGCCACCAGCTGACCCGCCATTGCGGCTGGCAGCCCGCCTGGTCGCAGATGGCAGAGGAACAATAGGCTGACGGTGCGCGCCAACGTCCCCTGGCACTTCAGCGGCGGGGCCCCCTGAACGCCGCGCAGGACGAGCAGGGGGAGCGGCGGGCGTGAGGGGCCTGGTCGCTTGCGCTTCCAGCCCAGCATCGCACGGCTGCCCCGCAGCAGGCGTCTGCAGGGGGCGCCCCAGCGCCGCCCTCGCCAACGGCATCGCCGACAGCAGCTCCGCCCCCCTGTCGTGCCGAACACCTTCCGAGAACTCGCCTTTCAGGGACAGCAGCAGCATGTCGTTCCCCTCCAGGCCGCTTCAGTCGCCCCGAGTCACCGGACCCAGCCCGCGGCAAAGGCCACGGGGGCAGCGCAGGTAGCACGGCTGCGTCGAGGGCTTCGCCGTCTCCAGATCCAGGTCCGAGGCGCTCGAGCCCAGGGGGCGGTGCCGCGCCAGGGCTATCGAGGACGGCGGGTCGGCCGCGGGGTCTCGGCGTCTGGCGCGAGTCTGCCCCGGAGGGGCAACCCGAGGCGACGCCGCAGCTCGGCGGCGTCCCGCAGGCGCGCTCGAGGTCAGCGGCGGCGGCTACCTCGGTGCGGCCGCCAGGAGCGTTCGGCGCCCCATCGCCCCGCAAACGGCGAGGCTCGAACCGCCTGGAAGGGCCGTCGGCGGGGTTCCAGTCTGAAGGGACCCAACGAACTGAGACTCGACACGAGGGGGCGAGCTGAAGTGCGGTGAGATGCTGTAACTGGGCAAGATAAGAGAGTCAGAGGCTCGGCCTTTTGCGACCGTGCAGATACACATGCTGTCGGACAGGAAGAGCAGCCGGCCGCCGCGGTGCGCCACGCGGCGCACCTGCTCCGCATCGCCCAGAGAAGCGCCTCGCCCTCGAGGAGATGAATCGGAGCCTTGTGCCGCCAGCGCCTCGAAGCCACGGTCTTCCACAGAGATGACTGGCAGAAAGCGGCGGGCACGTCGGGAAAGGCGGAGTCGCCCACTGCGCCCTCCCGCAGGGCGCGAGCTCTCGAACCCTCGGCCACCAGCTCGCGCCCCTTGAACCGCCAGCTCTCTCGCACGCGCCCGACGCGGCCCACCTCGGCGGGGGCGGCGCGCACTCCGCGGCGCCCAGGCCCGTCAGGGACGCGTCCACGGCCATGACGCTAGGCGCCCAGGTACCTCGCAGATCGGCCCACACCAGCGGCAGCAGCGCACGCATCCAGGACAGCTCCCGACGCATTGATGGCCAGAGCCGCACTCGGCGAGCGTAGCACTTGCTGATGAAGAGGTACGAGGCGCTGAGCAGAATGAGCATCTCGCGCCGCAGCAAGAGGACGAACGTCAGGTGCCCGATCAGCCTCTCCAGCTAGGCTCCCGTCAGGAGCGGATGCGTCAGGATGTAGTCCAGACTCAGGGCCAGCCGCCAGCACCGCCTGGGCGCGATGCGGATCGCGCCCTTCCCCCAGTCGACGTGGAAGCCCAGGGGGTCCACGTCGACCTGCGGCCCGGAGACGCCATGAGTAGCCAGACCACGACCCCTCAGCTGCCTCTCGAGTCGCCATCGACCTGGACAGCCTCCTTCGCGGCCCCCAACGAGGCGAAGTTGTCGATGCACAGGAGAGCCGCGGGCTCGCGCCCGGCGACGGCGGGCGCGCAGCGGCGGTTGCAGAGCCAGCGTCGAGGGCCCAACGGCCCTGACCGCAGCAGCTCCGCGTTCGCCGCCTGCACGAGCGCCGCCGCCCAGCCCCAGCCCATCGGCACCACGCGAACCTGGAAGTGCACCAGCTTGGCACCTGCAGGAAACATGTCGCGCAAGAGTCGCGGCAGCGCCCGACGCGGCATCGCCTGCAGCACGAAGTCGGCGCGCAAATCGACGGCAGCAGAAACTGGTAGTAGCAGTTCTCGAGCCCCCCATCGCTGACCCACAGCCTTTGACCAACTGGCAGCTCCAGATCGCCGAGGGCCTCGGGCGAGGCCAGGGCGACACCGTCGGGCGGCACGAACTGCGCGTTAGTCTTCCGAGGGTCGAAGATGATCCGCAGCGAGCCGCCCTTCTTGCGAGCAAAGATACCCCCCACAAAATTGCGAACCTCGGCCGCCGGCTCGACGACACCAGATTCATAAGCGCTGTTCCAAAACTTGGCGGACTTGCTAGGCGACCTCGACAGGATAGGATCCATCGCGATGTCCCCCTCGTCCGCCTTCGCCGCGCAATCCTGTGTATACACGCTGCTGGTCGCCGAATAGCGCGGCCACTATCCTCTGGCAACTTCTGGTAGTGGTCGGGCAGGCAGTCGACGAGGTCGATCGCCTGGTTGCCGACCGCCGGTAGGGCAAGCCTGCCACGCTGGTAGGTAGCGAACTCTCCGGCGACGACGCCATCACAGGCGCAGCCGGATCCGCAGCCCAGAAGCGCAGACCACGCCCCCGAAGTAGTGAGGTCGTCGGGCGGAGGCGGCACGGAGTAGTAGGCCCTGGCCAGGCTGGCCACAGCCTGGCGCTGAATGGCACGAGGCAACACTTTGGGGCCCCACACCTCGCCGCGCCCGCCCAGAGCATTGAGCGTCGCGACGCCGTCCTGCAGCCGCGCCTCCGCAGCCCGCCGGCGCGAGCGCCGTCGGTCCGCGCAGCGCGAAACGCCCAGCCCCGCCGGCGATAACCCGTCCAGGAGATCGGCCAGCGACCAGACGGCAGAGGCAGCAGGTCGCGCGCCCAGTCATGTCCATCACCTGCGACACCAAGGCGGCTCGCCATCCCCCTCACGCGAGCACCCCCCCCCCTACGCAGCTGGGGCGGCGGCCGGGGGCCTCCGCCGTCCGAGGTAGCTCGAGCAGCCCCGCCCCCCTGCCCGACGCCTTTCTTGCACGGGTTCTTGGGGGGCCTGTCGTCGATCATCTTGCTTGAGACACCGGGGGTCGCGTCCGTCGAGCGAGCCAGCTGGCGCTCCTCCATGGCCTTGCGGCGCCCCTTGAGCACGGTGCTCTCCTCCGACAACTTCCGCGAGATCCAGGTCTCCAGCGCTGGCGCGACCGGCGCGCGGCCGCGCCTGCCCTCCTCGCCCACGAAGAGCCTGTCGTTGTCCAGGCGGCCGCTGCCGCCGCCTGCCGTCGCCGAGATCAGCATCCGAGCGTGCCTCTCCCCCGGCAACTGGTAGCGCCGGCCCGCGAGCTCCAGAGAGGCCAGCTCGCCGAAGTTGAGCTGGTCGTATGTCAAGGCGTACTCGAGGAGCCGGCTCCGGGATTCATGCTCTCCCCCCCCCCCGTCACTGGGCCCGGGCCCAGCAGCTGGCGCCGCCAGAAGTGCCCACGCCCTGGCGTCAGCTCCTGGCGCGCGATCTCGCGCGAGAGCCACTCCGCCGCCCGAGGCCCGCTGATGGGCCAGTCGTCGAACGACGTGGTCGTGGTGAGAGACGCGGCCTCCTTGTAGGAACGGTGACGCTGGCTCGCCTTCTCGTGCCTCGCGGGCAGCGTCCGCAGCTCGCTGGGAGGCTCACCTAGAGCGGCTCCCCCCCTGGGCGTCGGCACCTCCTCGCCTGGCCGAAAGAAGGGGCACGCGGCGAAGAATCCACCCACCTGGGACACACCTCGATCACCGCGTCGGCAGCCAGCCTCCAGCTCTGCCGCGCCAACGCACTCGCCCAAGCGCGCCTCTCCTCGACTCTCGGAAAAGCGCCGCTCGCCCCGGTCCGCCGCGGGGTCGCCCTCCAGCGCCAGCGGCGGCGGCGCTCAAGAGGGGAGGGGCGCCGGCCGAGCAGCGCCGAGGCCGAGGCCGCGCCGCTCCTGCTCCGCCAGCTCCGCACCTTCCGCCTACAGGCGCAAGCTCTCGGCCTGGTGCAGCGGCCCTTGGGGCGAGTCCCGGAACGCGTGCGTCGGCCCGCGGCTCCAGCCCGCCGGCAGCCCACCCATCGGCCCGAGCGGCGCCGAGCTCTCGATCCCGTCTTGGAGGTCCTCCAGGTAAATGCCCCGCTCGGGCGTGGCGACCACCCACGAGCCTTCGCGCGCGCGCACGGGAGCCTCTCATGCCAGAGCAGCCTACGCGGGCCCATGTCGCAGGAGACGAGCACTCGCTGGCCCTGACGAAGGTGAGCGGACATCTGGGACCACGGGCAGGCTGAGGCGCTCTGGGGCGCCCGTCGCCCTGCGGTGCAGCCACCGCGGCCGTCGAAGCGCCGGCGCCCGCCAGGAACGCCAGCACCGCCACCAGCAGCACCACGAGGCCCTGGTAGCCCGAGCACTCAGGCTGCGCACACGGCGCGGGGAAAGTGAGGTTGGCCGGTCCGCGGCGCTGCAGCTGGCCTTCCAGCAGGCGCAGCAGCTCGCGGTCGACCGAGAACCCCTCGCCGAGGTCCGCCTCGCAGGTGCACCTCTGGCCGTGCCAGAGGCTCCCCAGCTGTGCCAGGCCGTCCGCGCCCGCCGCGGCGGCCCTCGCCCACTCCATGGGCGAACCCCTGGCTCGCGCGGCTGGATTGATCCAAAAGTTGCGGATCAACCAACTGCTAGGCCAACGCGATAAACTATCTCCAAATCCCGAAACAGGCGAGGCCCATGCGCGCCCGTTCCCCAGCAGCGTCGGCCGGGATCCCCTGTCCAGTCAGGCAATGCCCAAGAGTCAGTCCCGGGCACGGAGACGTCAGGTGGCTGACCTCCCCCAGCAGGTCATCGACTCGGTCCAGCAGAATGAGAACCCAGCCAACGCGGCAGCAGCCGTCAAAGCCGCTGCGGCCTCGAGGTGTAGCAGGCGTGGCAAGGGCGAAGGTGCCCGCGCTGGCGCCCTACCACTGCCGCCCCCGACCCCAGACATATCGCCCGGCAAGGGGCGGTCCGTCTTCAGGGCGGGCGACCGGCCAAAAGCGCGAGGACGGCCCCTCAGGGCAAAGGCACGGGTCGGGAGAGCGACACCGACACAACGCGGGCACCAGTGCTCCCGCCCTGTAAATGCCTGCCCCTGCCCAGCAATCTCACGAGCCTGAACACCGAGGCCCTCGCTGTACAGCAGCTCATTGGCATCGCCTGGCACCTTCGCCTGGCACCTTCGCCTGGCACCTTTCGCCAGCGGTCGCGTCTCCCCAGCAGCGGTCTACGAGATGGACTGCCAGCCCGAGGACCTGCTCGAAGACTTCGTGGACCTGATGTGGAAAGAGGGCAACGCTACCCCACTGCTGACATGCCCTGGGTCCCAGACCAGGATGTCCTGGGGCGCGTAATCACCTGGCTTACCCGCCAGCCGAGGAACAGGGCGGCCTGGACGGTTTTCTGTGCGCAGCACTGTGCGCAGCATTGTGCGCAGCACAGGTTTGGGCACATCTCGGACCCCATTTCCGCCCACGGGCAAAGGCTCATGGACTTTGCGCGGCAACAGGGCCGCAGGCCTCTCGACGACTGCCCATGCGCAGTGGAAGGAGGCGCTGTCCCGAGCGACCCGCACGCCCTGGTCGATCTGAACGAGCCCCGCCCCGGATAAAACCTGCCTCTGTTCTCAACGACAGCGAGCTTGAGGAACTGGCCAGAACCCTCGGCCTGGCCGGGGCGGCCCCGCCGCCAGGCCCTGCGCTGAGGAGCAGGGAGACCCATCGCCTGGAGGCTGGAGACTCGCTTCAACCATGGCTTACGGTCCGCCACATGGTGGTGGAGCACGCGCGGAGGCAGCACACCGACCGCGCCTCGCGGTGGCACAGGCGGATCAGGACGCGACCACCAGGTGGTGACACCATGCACATACTCTCGCGCCTGGACCCCTGCTCGTGGCCCCGGACCGAATGCCCCAGATTTATCGAGTCTGTATACAGCGACCGTCTGCCCGGCGACTTTGTCCTCGAGGAGGTGACGTGGAACCACGCGCTGGAGCTCTTCCCTGGAGCGGTGCAGCACCTGGGGCGCGTCAGCAGGTGCGGGACTGAGCGGGGCGAGCACATCGCAGAAGATGCCCCCAGACTCGGCATCTCTCCCAGAAGACGCAGCTGCGCCACGCTAGGCGCTGTCCTCAAGATCCACTGCGGGGCGGGGCAAGGTGGCGCCCCCGCCGATCTCCTCCACCGTGAGATGGGTTCGGCCAGCGTGTCCAAGGGCCTAGGGCAAAGGCGCCCCGCCTGCCGTTGCTAGGCTCGAGCGTGGTAAGGGTCCGTGAGAAGGGGGGTCGTCCAACGAGCCAACCAGGAACGAGCAGGCGCCGCTTGACGAGCCCGCGAGGCGCGTACTCGGCCAGGCTGGTGCCACGGCTCCCAGGCGCGGCCCGCCAGCCACAAGCGCCTCGACGCCCAAATCAAACCCTACCACTACTCGGGATGGCGAGAGCGTGGTCGCCGCGGACCCAGCCCCAGGAGCGCGCTCACGCTCCCCAGTTCCCCGGTCGCCGCCACAGCAGAGCCAGGCGCAGGCTGGCGACGCAGCCTCAGGGGGCCGCGTCCTTCCTCCAGCGCTGACGCCTCGGCTAGAGAACGCCTCGCGGAGGCATCAAGTGGCCCCACCGACGTGAGCACGCCAAGCATCGATCCTGGGGACCCCGGTTTCGAACCTGCTTGGGGGGGGGGTAGCGCAGCACCCCCGCCAGGCGACGACCAGACTGAGGCTGCCAGGACTGAGGCTGCCAGCACCCAACTGCTAGGCGTCGAGCCTGGGCCCCCCCCAGGCCCCAGCCCAGCCACCCTGGACGATATGAAGCCCCAGCAGGCCCCACCAGACGAGGCTCGGCCGGGTAGTTGGGATCAGTGGCGACCCCGGGACTCGTGGAAAGGATGGCAAGACTGGGGCTCTCAGCATTCGTGGGGCAACCGCCAGGGATGATGGTCCCTGGACGACAGGACCGACACCTCAAGGCAGCCCGAGCGGGGGACCTACAGGGAACGACCGCAATCTCCCACCTAGTACAGCAAGCCCTTCCACCAGATCTCTTAGGATCGGAGCACTACGCCGGCAAAAGGAGCTGCAGACTGAGGCCGGCGACATGCACACAACGGCCAGGCACTCGTGCTTCCAAAACGTCAGATGGGCCCAGTGAGCCGCGAACGCGCCCCTTGACCCATTGCGCCCGTCCCCGGAGGACGCCAAGGACTTTCTTCGAGAGTTGGCCGAGGCGGAGCAGGATGTCATCGCGTGGGCTCATCAGCATGGTCACCGCGTCGACTGGGATGACAAGTCGAAACAGAAAGAGAGAGAGACGCCAGAAAAAACACAGGGCAAGGCTGCGCCCTGGAGCAGCTCAGGCGCCACATCGGCGCAGCGAGACCAGTGGGAGCACAACAAGAGAGGCCGCTCTGAGGAGCGATAACAGTCCTACAGCCCGTCGGGCCAAAGGACCCCCGCGCCTCAGTGCCCACCCAACTCACCTGTATATGTGCCCATGGGGTGTGGCCTTCCACGCTGGCGTCTTACACCATCGTGGTTGGGCTTTTCGCCCCACCACGGTTACCCTGATTACCCGGCATCCAGATTCTCACATGGTGAGTGGGTGTTTCGCCCGTATTTCTGCTCGTCTGTTTTCTCCCCGTGCTGTGGGCTTTCGCCCTTCTCATCTCCGCCTCTCCCCCTCCCCCCGGCCACGCCTCCATGACGCATCCCCCTCTTCTGGCCCTCCCGCGGACCCGCCCGCACTGCC